ATGGGAAGTCCATTTTTTAGACAGAAAAGAAAACAAGTAGTTCAAATCAAGACATATTCCTGGTTCTTCTATGATTAACAAGCCTGTCCCTGGGCATTATTACTCATTAGCTACACCTTTTAAATAAAGTATTTTACATAGAGAATAATAATTTTTATTTTATTCATCTATAGTAAGTTTTGGAGCCTACAAATGTCAAAATGAACAATTAAAACATATTTGTGGAAAGGGAACCACAAAGTATAATGTATGATCATGTAATCTTAGCTGCTATAGATATTCAGTGAGATTTACTTGGGAGGAGCCATCATAAACCTTGCGGTTAGAAATGAATATTAATATTGGGATTCACTAGGCAGGAGAAATATGCTATTAGATGGTGATTATTAATTTTTGGTATATATGGCTCAAGCCAACCATTATTATGCTTTGAGAGTCCATGTATGGGACTTACAAAATATATACTAATATATTCCACTACAACTTGAGGTTGCGTATGGAAAGTGAAAGTGTTTTTTTTTAAATTAGTATATACTCTTATATAAGCCAAGTTTTTCAGCACATATTTTAATGCAGTTTTTGTGGTAAAATTAGGTGCCTTGGCTGATATGCGGGTTGGCTTATACTCGAACATATACGTAGTCCTTGATATCTGTTGGTTCTGCATTTGGGGAGTCAATGAACTGGGAATAGAAGTTAATGGGGGAGGGAGAGCCATGAGGTGGTCAAAGCAATTGCTCAAAGAATATGAGGAAGCATAAAGTGTGGGCTACATAGCGTTACACTGCATTAGGAATGACAAGTAATCTAGAGGTGAGGTAAAGTATACAGGAGGATGTGTGCAGGTCATAGGCCTATATGCCATTTTCTATAAGGGACTTGAGAATCCTTAGAGCTTGAGATCCATGGGGGTTTTGGAACCAATCCTCCATGAATCCCAAAGGCCAACTGTAATTATAAAATTCTGTGCAATATGGATTATATACAACCAAACCCATGCTCACTGCCACTGAGCCAATTCCGACTCATAATGACCCTATAAGACAGAGTAGAACTGCTCTTGTGGTTTTCCAATACTGTAACCCTTTACAGGAGTAGAAAGCCCTTCTCCCAAGGAGCAGCTGGTGGTTTCAAACTGTTGACCTTGCATTTAGCAGCTTAATATGTATAACCCACTACACCACCAGGGCTCCTTATTCATCATATAATATAAATATCAAATTCTGCTTACTATTTAAAATATAAATATAACTAATATAATGATATATCTAATATATTTATAATAGAATGTATAAGTATATAATGTTATATATTTACAATATAATATATAATTATACAGTATGCTTTCCTTGCTACCAGAAAGTGTTGCCTAAAATTCGTAATTGTGGAAGTAAGCTGGCAGGTTCATTGTGTGTTCACTTTACTTTTCTATAAATTTAGAAATTTCATTAAAAAGGGTTAAAAATATAGTGCTACTTAAACATGGGCCTCTGCCAGAGTTTACCCTGGAAATTTTAGAAAATAGCTCCTGATTTTCTAGGAATATACAATTTTGCACCAGTAATACTGATGAGGATTGATAGAGATGAAAGAAACCCAGAATAAATTAATGGGTGACCAGTACCAGGATGGGCAGTAGTGCTGAGTTCATTTTTGCCACCCATTCAATTTTACCCTGGCCTTTCTCTACTGTGTTGTTTCAACTCTGACCTTTCTTTCCATGCTTTGTCCACACTCTCTTTCCCTTTGTTATATGAGAATCAGCAAGTTCTGCCAAGTTTTCTCCCAAGGATACGCCCGGGGACATCGCCTTCCACGCCCACAGCCCCGGTTCCTTGGGGCCCTTGTCCTTTTCTTTCTAGGCTGCTGCAAAGAGATCGCAGTGGTTTCTTTGGATCTTGGTGTCACTTGACTTCAAGATGGATCTTGAATCCTACTAAATTCAACTTCCTAAAAAAGAACTTGTCGTTACTCTAGAGTTTTCCTCCAATAGCCAATTCTGCCTGATCAGTCTATTCTTTTTATTAATTTTTCAGGAAACACATCCAGGAATTTTTCTGTGTCTTTGTTTTCTGCCCCAAATGTTCCCTTTTTATCCAAAGCTTAGATTATCATATATTTCATACTTTCAAGATCTGTGTCTTCCTGCATAAGTGACTTTTTACAATTGCTATTTTACCTTATCCAAGTGAACTTTTAGAGCCCTTGTGGTGTAATAGGCTACGCACTAAACTGCTAACCACAAGGTCAATGGTTCAAACCCATCAGCTGCTCTGCAGGATAGAGATAAGGATGTCTACTCCTATTAAAACTTTTAAGTCTCAGAAACCCAAAGGAGCAGTTCTAATCTGTCCTACAGGGTCCCTATCAGTCAGAATCAACTCGATGGCAGGGAGTTTGAGCGAAATTACTGTGGTGTTTCTGAGTGCCATCTAAACAAAATCATCTTCATGGGACTTGTAATTCTGTGGTTCTCAATCTTGACTGTACATTAGAATCACTAAAACTTCAAAATCCTAACCAAGTGACATTGTGCTGATGCTGACTAATTGTGGCCCACATGTTTCAGAGAGAACATGGCTGGACCCATTTGGAAGCAGATCACCAGGCCTTTCTTCTCATGCACGCAGAAACTTTTTTTTTTTCAGTAGCTAAACTTGTACCACCCAAGAACCTCACTAGAATCACTAAGAGAGTTCTTGCTTTTTGTTTTTTGGTAATTTATTGTCAACTGGTTGAAGGCTTACAAAACAAATCAGCTTTCCATCCAACAATTCATACACATTTTGTTTCATCTGATTGATTGCAGTAACACTTGTCTGTCATCAACCAATCAAAATCCATTGAGGAAACACAGACAGCAGGCTTCTTTCTTTCTTTTTAATAGCAGGGCTGTTTAAAGTATGCTAGGTGATTCTAAGGTACAGAAGGCTAAGAAACACCCATCACTACATCAAATTTCTCAGTGTGTAAGTTCTATTCAATAGTGTTGACTGTCGACGAGAGAGGAAGAAAACTAGCTACCTTGGAATGTTTTGCTTGACTCACAGAATAGTGAGTCAAAAACCTTTCAGATCCTATCTTAAAATTGAGATACTTCTAAGGATTCAGATACTTCATTTATCTTGAAAAATCAGAAGTTCTGGTGACACTGGATCTACGTTCTTGCAAGGCTAGAACTTGGCTAGACCTGGAGCGCAGCTCTCCACAAGATCTGGGCTGCGAATGCCCTCTCCAGTTTGCTGTAGTCCCCACCCCTTCCCGAATCTGCCTCACTGCTGCTGAGTACTAACTGCCATTTGTAACACTATTTACAGAGTGGTTTAGATCATTGTTTTCACGGTAGTAAGCTATTTCCCTGTCACACTGCCCCACCTGGGCAATGAGAGTCGCTGTTAAAAGTACAGTGGTTATAAAGTAAATATTCAATCATTCAGTCCATTCTATTCAGGTATGGTATCTTCTTGGCTTCTGTGGTGATATGAGTTTTTAGCCCCTGGCCTGGAATATGGCAAATACTGCCTTCTGCGTTGGGAATACAGAAGAATGAGGCTCAGTGATCTCTCCGGAAGTATCACCCTTTGTTGGGAGATGCAGATATATTAAAAAGTATGATAAGAAAGAGGAAAAGAAATGAGAGTCATGAACAGAGAAGTGCACTGTGGCCATGGAACTGGGGATAGCTGCCGAGAAGAGGTGGCATTTAAGTAGATAATGAGATGGGAATGACCTGGGCAGCATATTCAAAGAAGGACATTTTAGACCAACAGATCATCGTTCTCAAGACACGAACACGTGAAAGCATGTGGGACAATGAATGGTGAGCATACCACACACAGGTTTTGCAGGGAAAGCGTCTGGAGAGGAAGCTAGACTACTCAAATGTTTAGTTGAGGGGAGGTTGGCTTTCAGTGTCTTCCCAAAGACATTTCATCTTGTCATCTAGATCAGTGGTTCTCAACCTTCCTAATGCCCCGACCCTTTCATACAGTTCCTCATGTTGTGGTGACTCCCCAACCATACACTTATTTGCATTGCTACTTCATAACTAATTTTACTACTGTTATGAATCGTCATGTAAATATCTGATATGCAGGATGTATTTTCATTGTTACAAATTGAACATAATTAAAGCACAGTGATTAATCACAAAATAATATGTAATTACATATTGTGAAATATTTATTTCTAATTTTACATACACAGAATTTTAACAAGGCCCTGTGGTGCAATGGATAGTGCATTGGACTTCTAAATACACAACATTTTGTCTTGAAGCATGGTGTAGCATGGGTAACAGTCTTAACTACATTGATACATTTTGTGACAGTGTGCATAAAAAGCCAACATCACTGCGAAGGTTCAGATAGCTCCTTTCTCACCAGATGAGCATATCTGCATGTGGGTGGACCCGCCTGGTGACGGAAAGAGGAGTGGTGTCTCCATCCTAAGACCATCTGAAATGGGTGTTTTCTGATGGTCTTAGGTGACCCCTGTGAAAGGGTCTTTCGACCCCCAAAAGGGTCATGACCCACAGGTTGAGAACCGCTGATCTAGATGGTAGCTATGGTATTAAAAGTTACGTCTTAATCAAAGAGCAATGTAATCACATTTCTATTACAAAAGGATAACTCTGACACCAATTTGGGAAATTAAGTGGAAGCTAAAGCCTTACGGGAGAGTGATGGTTGGGGCGAGAACAATGAAACAGCCTCAGTAGGATGTTTGAGATTGGTTCCGAAGGGATCATTGGAGGGACTTGGAAAGAGGGAAAAGGAGAGGGATTATCAAAGATGTTTTGATTTTCCATGTTCAAAAATATTTTAAACAAAATTTAAAGTCTAGAAGGAAAATTTAAATAAGGGTTTGTCACGGATATGAGTAGATAGTTCTTAAATAAGTTAATACTTAACCTCCAGCTTTAAAGCATGATGACCAGCATGTGTTTTCTTTCTTTGGCCTTACAAATATGCTTGCAAATTAGGAGTCCAAGTGCATACCTGACTCTGCTGAACGCAGGGGATGACCTCCAAATTTTATTTCCGTTTGGCGCAGTTTGGTCATATTGAGCAGCTGTGTGACTTGTGGGACGTCTGTTGTTAGTTGGCAGCTCCGTGGAATAATGTCTGTAGGTTCATCTGTTGGGAAAGGGGCACCGTATACAGCTGGAAACAAAGACAAAGAGTCATTTCCAGAGTGTAAGGGCTTTCTCCAAGTGGACGCATCTTGTAAATAAAACCTATTCAAGTAAAACCATTCAGATTGTGACCTGGGAAAATGATTTAATCTCCCATTCTTGGTTTTCTAATCCATAACATAAAAACATTCTACTACTTACTTCCTAAGTTTGTAGTAAGGATTGAATGTGCATGTAATAAATGAGAATATTCGTGGGAATTGCTTTCTATTTGTTTCTAAGAAAGACTATATGTGTGAAGATCTCCTTAAGCATCATCCAGTCAACATTCTGGGAGTCTAGCCAATCAGTACCGTAGTACATTGACATTACTGAAGGAGCTAAGCATCCACAGCACGTACAGGAGTCTTTTACATTTTTTTTAACTTGAATTTTAAAATGATTTTAGACTTAGGGGAAAGTTATAAAAATAATACAGGGTTCACACATACCCCTTATACTATTTTCCCTAATCTTAACAACTTACCTTTGAATACGTTTAAATTCAAACACTTGAAATAGTCCTAAAAGTAGTAGCCGATTATTATAATTTGTATTTCTAGTGATACTTAACATAATTAATAATATAGATAGATACTTTTATTTCTAGGAAACTTTCTGTTCATATTTTTAACTCATTTTTAGTTGTATGACTTCTCATGTTTTTTACTCAGAAATTTCACTTGAAGAATCGAATCTAAGATTAATTCAAAAGGAAACACAAACAAGTCAGACAAACATCTAAATTAAGAAAGGCTTATAATTCTGTGAAAATAAACAACTTTAATCTCCAGCATATGAGAAGGATTGAACACATGATAGTGTATTGTGGGCTAGGACAGTCAGGAGTCATACGAAACTAGTTATGACAGTGTCTTGGTAATATGAGAAAATTTCAAGATAAAAAGTTAAATGAAAAGGACAGACACAAAGTTCTATATCAGTTGAAGATAATACATATGTAAATGTATGGATGGCAATAAATAAATAAATAAATAAATAGAAGAAAATATACCAAAATGTAGCGTAACTTCAGGTGGTTAGACTAAGCATAGCTTTTATTGTCTGCTTCATAATAAATTTTATATATGCTTGATTTTTACTGTAAAATTTTCGTTTTTAGAGTCTAGTGGAAATAAAATTTCTATAAGTCGATGTGCATCTCAGTAATAAAAATTCAATGAATTATCTACCAAAAGACACCTTCATGTAAATATAAACTCACCAATTTTATAAAGGCAAATGATGTTAGGTTCATGAACCTGTAAACCAGGACGACTTGCAAATTAGATCATAATTTCTTGATCTTCAAAATTAAAATTAATCATTTAACTAAAAACTTAAATACCCATCAGCCATGTCATGGTTTCTAAATGTCCTTGTGCTCACAAAACCAAACCAAACAAAATAAATAATCAAACCAAACCCAGTGCCCTGGTGTCCATTCTGACTCACAGGGACCCTAAAGGAGAGAGCAGACCTGCCCCCAAGGAGAACTCTTTATGGGAGCAGACTACATTAGAGTTCATTCCAACTCATAGTGACCCTAGAGGGCAGACTAGAACTGCCCCTGTGGGATTCTGAGACTGTAACTCTTTAAGGGAGCAGAAAGCTTCATTTTTCTATTGAGGAGCTATTGGTCTTGAACCGCTGACCTGTGGTTAGCAGCCCAAATGTTCTCTGAGGGAAATTGTGGGTAGTATAGAACTTTCAAAAAAAAAAAAAAAAGGAGCAATCAAAACTAAAATGAACCTATTTAACAATGAACAGATCTCAAACTTTGAGACTCATTTAGTGGAAAAATTGTAAATACATTTAGAAAACGGGCTTTTATCTCAGTTTTGTGAAAACTATGAATATTGAGTGTAATAACCATCTATTTTGCTGATGGCTCCCTGTTTTGATAGCTCTAAATAAAATTTAATGCCCACAAATAACCACCCCCTTACCACATTCAATTACAAAGTAATGCCATTCTTTTGGCATTGTCAACTTATAATTAAAAAATAAGAATCTGAAACAGCGTAGATCCTACGTAAACTTTAACTTGGATGCTGTGTTGTGAGCACCCGGCAGCTGTGCACTCGGCGTCAATTGAGTCATTCTCTCTACCATTCAGTCAGCACTTCTTGAGTCTCGTCTCTGTGTCAGGCACGCATCTAGTGGCTAGGAATCTCGTGGTGAGCAAGAGTGACCTGGCCTTGTCTGGAATAAAACAAATGTAGTGTTCAATGCTGTGAAGGAAAAGCGTTTGAAAGGGCCCACGGGGAGTTCTAACAACAAGGGGTTGACCAGAGTCTTCTCTGGAAATGGGCAGAAGTGAATACTTGGGCAGAGGGAAGAGAGCATTTCAAGGCCACAAAGGCAGAAGGACCTACGTGCATTTTAGGAACTGGAAGAGTTTGCCAAAGGGTTACTTGGCAAGAGAAACTGGTCAGAGTTCCAGTGATATATTTTGTTTGGCACCTGAGTCAAAGGGGACGCACAGTAAATTGTCATGGACAAAAGTCCCTTAATGACGTCCAACCATGAGTAAACACAGCTACCAAGTCTCCCCCTTTTCTGCTGTAGGTTGTTCTTGTCCAGCCATCTCCTGAAAAGTACTCCCTCTGGTGATGCTTATCAATAAAGGATCAAAAGAAGGAGCTCTGTATGGCAACATGCAGATCGCCTGATTATGGTTCAGATAATGGCACGACCCAAGCTCACCTGGTTTTGCTAACAAATCGGAAAGAACATAATGTTGGCTAGAATGGTCCATTAGGATGGCAACATGGTACTGACACAGAGCTCCGAGGAAGTGGATGGCTTTACTCGCGTGGCATCCAAACACAACCAGATGGTAGGTTTGTTTTTTTTAATGTCATTGTTCCTTCTATGAGTTAGGTGCCCTATGAGAATGTTTGAAGGACTTTGTAACCCATTTGCCTTTCTTTGGCTATAATGCCATCATGAAGCAAATCGTTTTGTTGGTGTTTAATTCCTTTGATGATCTAACTCGTGAAAATCAAGTCATCAATTGTAACATCTCTCGAAAGCATTTTATCCAAAAGAAATCAGGACCTCCATTTTACTGCAGACAAATGTCTTGTGAATAGGGAGATTTACAGAAGTGCTGCAGTTTATGTCTTCTCCAAATTCTTACAGTTTGATTAAGGACAATGTTATTGTAGTTCACTAGTTCTAGACTCATCTACATTAATCTTATTTCTCTTATGTCAGGAAGATCTTACAGTGCCTAGTACTGTCCTTTTTTATATCAAACCTCATCTCTCCAAAATAGCAGAGCACCAGGTAGAAAACACCAATGTCTCTGCCAAAATATTGCCTGCCACACAGGCCCTGGAGCAAGGTGAGTTATTAGCTGTATGACCTTGTCACAGTAATTATCTCCATCCTACTAACTGTAAACAAAACAAAACAAGAAAACCCTTGCTACTGAGTGGTACTAACTCACAGCAACCCTATAAAGCAGAATCAAAACACGGGTGCCAAGGCCACAATCTTCATGGAAGCAGGCTGCCGGATGTTTCTCTAGGAGCCACTGGTGGGTTCGAACGACTCACCTTTCAGTTAGCCACTAAAGTAAGGTGACCAGATTTTAACATTGGTAAAGCGGGACAAAAGCGGGACACCATTGATAAAACTCAGATCATGGCGAAATAGCCACATGGCAGCCAAAAACTGTATACCCTAGCATGTTCTGCATTTTTTTTCAAAAAATCGGGACTTTTAAAAAATGCCGTGGGACATGCGAAAAATTGTTAAAAATTGGGACTGTCCCGCCAAAAGTGGGACATCTGGTCACCTTACACTAAAGGCATATCCAGTGGGCTACCAGGGCTCCTCTCCTTTTAACACAACACTTACCTTGTAGGACAATTGTGGCAATTAAATGAATTCATATATGTCAGGGGCAATAATGCCTGGTACAGAGCAAGTGGTATGTTAGTCTCTGCTATTAATAATACATAATCACTTCAGTGTATGATTTAATTATAATGTTGACAAAACCACTCTAGCTTAGTTATGCATATTTTATAATGACAGGTTTTGATGTTTAAAAGCATAAATTGGCCTCAACTATACCAAAACATTGCCAATCCTGACGGAATCATGCCCGTAGGGTTTTTGAGTGATAGGGTTCTATTATGAATAATATTTTACAATACTTAGTTATTATAAAGTATTATAATACTCAATCATACTTAATAATAAAGTATTTTTATTAAGTATAATACTTATAAATTATAAACATTCTTATATTTTAAAAAGAGTAAGTCTGGGTGTTTATAAACAGACATTTGCGATCCCTTTCTTGTAGGAGCTCTTTTTAGCTGCTTGTCACTCATGCTCCACTGAGATCTTCGTCCCTTTCTTGATCGACAAAAGCACATTGCGTGCAATCACAGCCTTAACTGGACAGACTCTCGTACAATGTGCGCTCGCCTGGCCTTGGGAAGAGGAGCGAGGTAGGACACACTCAGTAATGTGAAATATTGAAAGTATCAAGCCATTCTGGTTGTAGAGGAAGAGAGACTTGAGCATGCTCGAGACGTGGCCTCAAGTTCCCGTGGTAGGGCTTCAGCACAAGATGCCTCAGTTCTTGGGGCCTTGTTTTCCTCATCTGTATAATTAAGCCATTGGACTGTAGGTCCTCTGAGGTCCTTCTCTCCCCAAGGAATCTATTAAGGCAAGACACCAGGATTTCTAGCTGCTTCTGTGGCCTTTGAAAGGGTAATTTTCCTCACAGTGTTTGACACTCAATGAATATCTATTGATTAAAGACAATGAATATATAAATAATTGAACAAATAATCAGGAAACCCTTAATTTATCAATTCAACAAACATTTACGATAGGTTACTGGTGCCAGGTTTAGTGCCACAGATAAAAATGCAGGGTGACCTACTCTAGGCACTCTGAAATTATGCCTTTAATTCTTTATTTCTTGCCTTTCTGCATACAAAACACGCAGACCTCAGTACT